ACCTCTTCCTCCACAGTGCCACCACCTCCTCCTCCTCCACAGTGCCACCACCTCTTCCTCCCACACTGCCACCACCACCTCTTCTCCACAGTGCCACCTCTTCCTCCTCCACACTGCCACCACCTCTTCCTCCACAGTGCCACCACCACATCTTCCTCCACAGTGCCACCACCTCTTCCTCCACAGTGCCACTACCTCTTCCTCCCAGTGCACACCTCTTCCTCCACAGTGCCACCACCTCTTCCTCCACAGTGCCACCACCTCTTCCTCCACAGTGCCACCACCTCCTCCTCCTCCACAGTGCCACCACCCCTCTTCCTCCACAGTGCCACCACCTCTTCCTCCACAGTGCCACCACCTCTTCCTCCACAGTGCCACCACCTCCTCCTCCTCCACAGTGCCACCACCTCTTCCTCCACAGTGCCACCTCCTCCTCCTCCTCCACAGTGCCACCACCTTCTCCTCCTCCACAGTGCCACCTCCTCCACAGTGCCACCTCCTCCACAGTGCCACCACCTCTTCCTCCACAGTGCCAGGTTACAATAGAGGACGGAGTGTTATAATTAGCCTCCTTCAGGAAGTACCTCGTCAGCCACTCACCCTCCACTCTCACTCCTTCACTTGAACCATTACTATTCACTCTCCCTCACCCCTCTCACTTTCACTCGCTCCTCTCACTCTCCGCTCCTCTCACTCTCACTCACCTCTCTCACTTTCACCCACTTCTCTCACTCTCACTCACCTCTCTCACTTTCACCCACTTCTCTCACTCTCACTCACCTCTCTCACTTTCACCCACATCTCTCACTCTCATTCACATCTTTCATTCACACTCTTTCCTCTCACTTCCCTTCACTCTGTCACTCTCACTCGAATATTTAAATTATTGTGACTAAACCAATTTGTAATTTATTGAGACTGATCTAGTGTAAAGGCTTGAATGTAGTGTGTGTGTGTGTGTGTGTTTGTGTGTGTGTGTGTGTGTGTGTGTGTGCGTGTGTGTGCGTGTATGTGTGTGTATGTGTGTGTATATTGATGATGTGTGTGTGTGTGTGTGTGTGTGTGCGTGTGTGTGCGTGTATGTGTGTGTATGTGTGTGTATTTCTTTACTAGTCTTTCTATTTGTCCTCCTTCCTCCCCCCCCAACCTGCTCCTACCAGTGGCGTGCAGGAGTCTAATGGGTGGCGTGTGGGCGTGCATGTGGGCGTGCGTGAGGGCGTGCGTGAGGGCGTACGAGAGGAGATAAGATGGTTGTGGGAGCTGGAGGTCAGAGGGTAGGTGTGAGGGCAGGTAATCATTCAATTAGTGACCCACGCACCTCACCTGGGCTGTGCTCTAGTCCTCAACACCAACCTGACGGAGACGCTGTAATAGGGACATACGTGGAGGAGGAAGGGGGAGGGAGAGGAAGGGAGGGAGAGAAAGGGGGGAGGGAGGAAGAGACAGAGAGGAAGGGAAGGAAGGAGGGAGGGAAAAGGGGAAAGAATGAAGGTGGACGAGAGAGAGAGAGAGAGAGAGAGATTTATGTACACGGGGGAGAAGGTGTAAATTTGTTGTCATAGAAACAGTCACACAATCTCCTTCAGGTAGAGTGTAAATATTTTTGTGAGACAACCTGTATCAATCAAACCACTAGCATAAACATACACAAATAAACAACGGCAACAACAATAAGATCATTATCACCTAATTATCATCACGGTAATTAGTGTGTTAATCAAACAACCTATACCCAATAATTAACCTTTCATGACGTCATGCAATCACCATCAATCCCAGTTTTCTTTCGTCCTGGGCCAGTAACTACCGGGGCCACCTCACTAGCTAATTGGTCCTAGCCACTGGTACAATGCGTTTTAACCTAACGAACCACTGGGGCTGATTTACTGTCAACAACAACGAGAAAAATATGTTATGTACGAGACCAGGTGAGACTGTTCATTAAGGCAGGTGAACACAGGTAAACGATTCCGATAAAAATACATATAATTAGATTTTCTTTTCATCTCTGAACGTATGATAATGTTCTTAGTTATACCATAGAGTCTTGTTATAATTTTTTACACCATGTTTGTTTAGATAAATTTTCACTTGTCCAGTTTTTTTAGGGGAAAAATGTAACATATGAATCCTTGGGACATGGTGGGCCAGATTAGGGGAGCTTGGTCATGATTGGTTCAGAGATTACAGTGATTATGTCTGGCGGTAATGGTCTACACACATAAATCTCGGAGCTGTGGTTACTGACTCATCCCCCTAGCCGCCGTGAAGGTGTTTATCCCACTAAAGTACTGAGGGAGCGTCGACCTTTAGGACATAGTGGTATACTTCTATCTTCTCTTCCCGTTGAGATAAGCAAATTAGGTTGTAATACCGTAAGGTTATTATGAGAGAATCGACCTGAATGAGAGTGTGGGTTACTACTATGCTGCCCCCTTCCTCTGCCACAAGCAAAATAAGCCGTAATGCCATAAGATCACAAAGAGAAAATCGACCATACACGGCAACGGGGCATGATAGTGTCTTCCTCTCCTCTATCACAAACAGATAAGGATGTAAAACCGCCAACTTATCCGGGAAAATCGACCAAGAATGACAGTGTGGGATGATACTGTTTTACTCCCACACTGGGATTGATATGTGAAGCTGTAATGCTCTCAGATTATGATTAGTAAATCGACCATAATGACAATACGGGTGTCCACTGTTTTGACCCCACACTGGGATAAACCAATAAGAGTGTCATAAAGTTGAGTTACAATGGGATAGTCGACCATAAAACAGAATGGGTTGTGTTTGTTTTGACCCTCGCGCTAGAATAGATATATTAGAGCTCTAACACAATATTTTTAATGGAAATATCGACTTTAATGAACCCTGTGAGATGGCACTGTTTTGCCCCGATCATTGAGATTAACTGAATTGCTTGCGGATGTCTGTATGTCTGTCTGTCCAAGTGTTGTGGCTAACGTGAGGCGCACATAGTGGAGTGCTATTTACAGGTCGTATTAAAAGTTTATCCAGAGAAAATTTTTATTTTTATTTTTTTGATACAATAGTCGATGAATAACCCACGTTTCCTCTTCTTCCTCCTCCTCTTTCTCTTTTTTTCATTTATTAATTCATTTATCCTTATCCACAACTTCCCTCACATTCCTCTCATTCCTGGATAAGCATGTAAGGGGTGTCCGACATTCCTTCCCCCAATAACATTCTCCTCCCCCCCCAGCCCCTAATCCCTTACTCTTCACCTTTCACCCCTCCTTCAACCCCTCATCCTCATTCCTTCTACTACACTCCACTCATTCCCTTCCTCTCCCTTCCCTATTATCCCTCTTTCCTCCCTCTCTCACATTCCACCTTCATCCCACCATCCCTCCCACTCCACTCATTCTCCTCTTACCCTCCCTCTCACTTCTCTCACACCTACCCTCTCCCCCAACCACTCTCCCTTCTCCCCCTCTCCCCCTCCTCTCACTTCTCTCACACCTACCCTCTCCCCACCAACCACTCCCCTTCTCCCCTCCTCTCCACACCTACCCCTCCCCCCTAACCACTCTCCCCTCTCCCCTCCCTCGTTATCGTGTGACCTGTTATCCAGTTGGTAATAATGGCTTGTCACGCTGGTTTATTTACACCTGTGAAAGTAACGTTGGTGTTATTTTGTTATCATCACCTGAGAATTGGCCTATAAGCCCCGGGGTGTACCTTTGATCTTTGTTGCCGGGGAATGTGGGTGATGCTGGATGACTGAAGGGTGTGTGAGGTGGTGTGGTGTATTGATGTGGGGGAGTTGATGTGGGGGTTGTGTGTGGGGGGTTATTATTGTGTGTGTGTGTGTGTGTGTGTGTGTGTGTGTGTGTGTGTGTGTGTGTGTGTGTGGGAAGGGATAAATATATTTAAAAAAAAAATAGGTTTCAATCTCACTTAAACAGGTACAGGTTGGGTGAAAGTCGACACCTGTAACAAGAATTTTTCCTCCGTGTAGATCATTATCAGACCAGGTGACAACAGAGGGTGAAAGGTCGACTTCCTCCACCACCACTTAGATACCAACACTGATCATTGTGTCCTCTACAGTGTGAGAAATAAGGAAACGAGTCGACAATATGCTAGTAGAAAGGAAAATACAACAGTGGATAATACAGAGAAGAGAATTGATGAATACAAACAAGAAAATATATAGAACAAAACCTGGTGAAAAATATAGAGAGAAACAGGACAGAAGAAGACCCATTGTGGTTCTAATCATGTTAAAAATAAACCAAGACCACGACAATAAAATCCCAATCATAAAAATACATACAAATAAAAACATAAAAAAAATAATGAAAATAAAAGAAAATTACTGAAAATAAAGATAATAAAAATTAATAACGAAAATGAATAAAAAAAATAAACGAATAAAAAAGGTTCCAGATAGAGTTCCTGAGGTACTCCTGGTCGACCCTCAACACCTCATCATTTTAACCACATCTGAAGCTCATCCAGGATTATACCTCGAGGTAATCCTTTCTGTCTACATCATTACCTCCTCCACCAACGCCCTCCACTTGACCTCCCAACACCAGGGTCACACCGGGTCAATTCAAAGAGTGACAGATGGGAAGTCAGGTCAACGGTAGCCGGCTAAGGGCCAGATGGAGGTAATTTTGGGTTCTATCTGCCGGATTAGGGAATTGTGGGACAGGATCGAATACCATCTTGACTACAACGACGGATACGGACGGATCAGGTAAGGCAGACGACAGCTGTAGAAGGATCGAGTCTCAAGGAACCTTAATTTATTTCACCTGATGATTAAACAATGTAATGCTAAATGGTTGGGTTAGGTTAGGATTCCACCCATATCCTATCTCCCCTCGTAGGACCTCACCTGTATCCTTCCTTCACCTGTAGGACCTCACCTGTATCCTTCCTTCACCTGTAGGACCTCACCTGTATCCTTCCTTCACCTGTAGGACCTCACCTGTATCCTTCCTTCACCTGTAGGACCTCACCTGTATCCTGTCCTCGGGAAGGTCAGTCTTGAGGGAGAGCATTTCTCTGGCGTACACATCCGGGTAGTGAGACTCCTTGAAGGCCTTTTCCAGTTCCTCCAGCTGGAACGACGTAAAGATGGTCCGACTGGAAAAAAAAGTGGAGTGAGTTAGAATTCTGGAATGCCTAAAGAAAATTCTGGAATGTTAGGTTAAAATCTGGAATGTGTTACGGGAATTCTGGAATGGTACGTTAAAATTTAAAAAAAGTAATTTAGAATTCTGGAATATCAAAGAGAAATCCTGGAATATTTGGATGAATTTTGGAAAGCTAAGTTAAATTTCTGGAATGTTAATTTAGAATTCAATTCCTAGAAAGAGAGAGAGAGAAAGATAATAATTACAAAATGAGATAATTAAAAATAATGACAAAGTGAAAGGAATTATAAAAGAGAGAAAGAAGACGCAATAAGATAAACTAATAACGATTAATTAAGGCCAGGTGTAAATGAACAATGTAAATGGTGCCATACTTATAAATATATTATAAATGATAACCCACCAGTAAATATAAAGTAAATAAAGAGACAATTGCAAATCTCTTGTAAATGGTTATATCTGTGTAAGTAACGAACCTGATATGAAAATCTTGTAAATCACGAAAAAGAATGTAAATTATGTGAAAGTTTTTGTAATTCGTAAGGAAGACAACTTAACACTGAGACTTTACCTTAACTAGACACGTTCGCTTAACACCAATTTAAGGATGAATTCAACATTGTGAATCTTTGTGTGTACTTATCATAAACTCAGCTGATTCAACCCGTACAAGAGAGCGAGGGGTGAGGGAGGGGTGGAGGTGAGGGAGAGAGAGGTGGAGGTGACGGAGAGAAAGGTGGAGGTGAGGGAGAGAGAGGTGGAGGTGACGGAGAGAGAGGTGGAGGTGAGGGAGAGAGAAGTGGAGACCGAAGGGGGGAGGTGGAGACCGAAGGGGGGAGGTGTAGGGGGAGGAGAAGGGACGGGTGGGGGATGTACGGGTTACAATTGAACAAGGGAACAAGAGAGAGAGAGAGAGAGAGAGAGAGAGGAGGAAAATGAACTCTAATGGATGTAATAATTTACTTTTGCAAATTGCGATTTATAACACTACGGGTTCAGGCAGAGACAATACTACCCACTCTCAGGCTAACCTAACCTAAGCGAATCTCTCCTAACGTAACGTAACTTAACGTAACGTAACATAACGTAACGTAAAGAAACATAACCAGATGATAGTGTTTCTTGGACTGTGCAGAGAAGGAAGAGGCGGAGGAGGAGGAGGAGGAGGAGGCTATCATAGCTGTCACAACACTATAACACAACGCCTTCACATCCACAATAACCACTATAACACCATAACCACCACCATAAACAAACAGAATCACCACACTGACACCATAACCACCACCATAAACAAACAGTAAGAACCAGAAAGCACCACGATAACACCACAACGCATTAATGGCCGCCCAGGTAAGAGAGGCGAGACATGACACTCACCTGAATAGACAAATAGCTGGTGACATAACGTGACGAACAATAACCAGGTGTTGTCGATGACCCACTTAGCCAGGTGAAGTATCCGCCACCTACTGATCCTCACCTGATACACCACAGCTCCTCCTTGTGTGTGTGTGTGTGTGTGTGTGTGTCTCACTCTCTGTTGGTGTGTGTGTGTGGGAGGGGTGAAGCGGACAATAGGGTGTGTGTTGGGTGTGTGGGTGTGTGTGTGGGAGGGGTGAAGCGGACAATAGAGTGTGTGTTGGGTGTGTGGGTGTGTGTGTGGAGGGATGTATGAGGTGTGTGTGTGTATAGGTGTTGGGGTGTATATGAATATGGGGGGGTGAGTGTGGGGAAGAGTGTGTAAGGAAGTGTGTGGCGGATATGAGTAAGGTTGTGTGTTAGGTGTGGAAGTCCTGATGTGTGTGTGTGTGGGGGGGGGTCTGGTGTTGGAGAGTGTTGGAGGGAGTGAGGTGTTGGAGAGTGTTGGAGGGAGTGAGGTGTTGGAGGAATGTTGTGTGTGTTGGTGGTTCTATGTTTAAGGTTTTTATAAGTTTCCATAATTACGTTTGTATATATTCAATGTACAAAACTTTGGTGTTCGGAAATTACGAGTTGATTTATGATTACTGGACAATTAATGAAAAATGTACAATAATAATAATATACAGCAACAACAATGAACAATAATCAGTGTACAATGATGACCAATGTACAGTTCTTCACTATCCTAACACCCGAACAAATATTCGAAGCCCAAGTGTGTGTGTGTGACTATGATTCAACTCTCAATATAGAAGGAGGATTCAAGAGGCCACCAGTGTTTGAGTATATGATGTCTTAACATTCTGAGCAGGGGATTCGAAGCTTCATCAGTGTTCACGTAAATGAAATCCGAACAAATTAATAAGGACTCGAAACTACATGATACAGAATGAGTACGTATAAACTGTTTGAACATATGAGCCGAGAATTCAAAGCTTCAAGCTACACTATATCGAAATATCTGAACAAAAAGATTCGAAGTTTCAAGTTACAGTGTTCGAATGCACAATATCAAAACAAACAATCGAAGCTTCACGTTACAGAATGTTCGAATACACGCTATATGAACATGTGACCTATGATTCGAAGCTCCAGCAAGTTACAGGGTGTTCAAATACACAATATCCGAACATGTGAGCGGTGGGTTTCGGAGGAGAGTTACGAGCGCTCGATACTCACACATCTCGACCTGACCCGGGGCTTCGGAATTACTCGTGTCCAATATTACAATATCGCGGGTGTCTCGAAGGTTCAGAATTACGGTGGTTCGATACTGGGGGTGGGGGGGGGGGTCGCGCAGCTTATGTTGGCGATGAATATCCGACTGGGGAAGGGTGTTGGGGGGATGGTGTTGGGGGAAGATGCTGGGGAAGGGTGCTTGAGCAGGGTAGGGAGGGGAAATGTTGGGGAGTGTACTGGGGAAGGGGTGCTGGGGGAGGTTACTGGGGGAGGATGGTAGGGGAATTCTTGAGGAAGATATGCTGGGGAATAATAATAATATAATTGAATTAAATCACACCAACAATTCAGTCATATAGAGACAACTGACAACCTCCCCGCTGGTAAATTTGCCATACAAAATTCCTTATAATATTTTTTCTTTACTTTAAACGTGAGGCAGCAAGGGGTGAGGCAGGAGGGAAGATGGGGAGGGACGGGGAGGTTTGCACGTTCACTCTCAGCAAATTGCTACAAATTTACAGGTAATTTTGCAGCAAACTCCTTAAATGGCGAGTAAGTTATTTCTGGCAACCTTCAGGCGTTTAGCGCGAGGGAAGGCGGCGAATTTTGGCCCGAATATTTTTGTGGTGTGTGTGTGTGTGTGTGTGTGTGTGTTGAATGTGTGTGTGTGTGTGTGCGTCTGTGTGTATGTAGAATATCTGTGTGTGTGTGTATGTTGAATGTGTGTGCGTGTGTGTGTGTGATTGTGTATAGAAGGAGGGTGCACGTCTGTGTGTATGTAGAATATGTATGTATGTTGAATGTGTGTGTGTGTGTGTGTGTATGTTATAACCCCGTAGATTATTACAACCAACATCCAATTAATGGTAAAGTCACAGCGATGGTTTGAAGCCATCTTGTTCTCAGTGACGTAGATATTATGATGAGAGAGAGAGAGAGAGAGAGAGAGAGAGAGAGAGAGAGAGAGAGAGAGAGAGAGAGAGAGAGAGAGAGAGAGAGAGCCGGCACAAGGCACGGTTACAGAAGTATAAATTTTCTCTTAAAAAATATGTCAACGTAAGACCATCTGGTGGTGGTAGTGGTGGTGGTGGTAGTGATCGTGGTAGTAGGTGGTAGTGGTGGTGTGATAGCGGTAGAGTAGAAGTGGTGAGCAGTGATGGTAGTAGGGATGGTGGTAGTGGTAGTAGTGGTAGTGATAGTGCAGAGAAGTGGTGACAGTGGGGATGGTGTGTAGTGGTGATGGTGGTAGTGATCGTAAGTAGTAGTAGCAGTAGTGGCAGTGGTAGTGATGGAGGTAGTGGTGGTAGTGACAGTGGTGAAGTGTAGCAGTGGTAGTACTAGTGGTAAGGGTGTTGTCACTCATGTCTGACAAATGTAAACATCTTTTAGATACTACCAAAGGGGGGTGAGGGGAGGGGGGGTGAGGGGTGAGGGGGGGGGAAGGGGGAAGTAGGGGAAGGGAGAGAGGCGGGGGGGGTGGAGAGACGGGTTTGGATGAAGGAGCAATGGGATAGGAGGCGGTAAAGAAGGAGTGAAAGGGCAGGATGGAGGGGAAGGAAGTGGAGGAGGAAGAAGAAAGAGGAAGGAAGAAGGGAAGTGAAGGAGGGAAGGGGTATAGGATGGAGGAGAAGGAAGTGGAAGGTTGCGGTTTGGATGGCGAGAGAGAGAGAATGTGCTGTAGGATGTGTCAGGATGTGGTGTGACAGATCTCAGCTGGTCCTGTTGCGTGTGTCAACCTATACGCAGGATGGAGATGACTCATGGCAGCTGGAGGAAGGATGGAGGAGGAGGAGGTTGAGGAGGAAGATGAATGCAAGCGAGATGGAGGAGGAGGAGGAAGGATGGAGGAGGAGGAGGTTGAGGAGGAAGATGAATGCAAGCGAGATGGAGGAGGAGGAAGGATGATGAAGGAGGATGATTTAGGAGAGGTCATCGTGGTCGTTATGATCGTTGTGGTCGTCGTGGTCGTTGTGGTCGTCATGGTCGTCATAGTCGTTGTGGTCGTCATGGTCGTCATGGTCGTTGTGGTCGTCATGGTCGTTGTGGTCGTTGTGGTCGTCATGGCCGTCATAGTCAAGCTGTGGCCGGTGGTCGTTGTGGTCGTCATAGTCGTTGTGGTCGTTGTGGTCGTCATAGTCGTTGTGGTCGTCATAGTCGTTGTGGTCGTCATAGTCGTTGTGGTCGTCATAGTCGTTGTGGTCGTCACGGTCGTGGTGGTCGTCATGGTCGTCTAGGTCATGGTCATCGTGGTCGTTTTAGTAGTCTAGGTCATGGTCATCGTCGTAGTGGTAACATTAGAACGATACACAAGAAGTGGGGTGTTAGTGAAGCTGTTTGTTTGTTTTACCAGCACGGGTGTGTGTGTGTGTGCTGAGTCACCCT